ATGGTGCTTAGTACAGGTGGGAAGTAGCTCCAGACTCTGCTACCGTTTGACATTGCAGCTGGCCTTCCCCAAGCCAGCCAGCGCGGCTCACTGATGGCTGCTTTTTGTGGAAAGGCCTTGCGATGGAGCACTAAAGACTCGGGCTTCAGCCAAGATAAGCCTGGATCCGGGTGCCACTCGCTACCCGTGTGACTTCAGTGAGATTCCTAGTCTCTTCCTCAACTTCCCCATGTGTAAAATGAGAATAATGACGCTAGCTACATTTCAGATCGCTGTTGAGGGTTCAGCTAGATAATAAAGTGTCATTCCCTAGCCTGGGGCAATCTCACACTGAGTCTGATTTATGATCATACTTACTTCATGAGTTATTCACTAACCTAGGGAAAATACTAGCTTTCCTAATCATCGGTGCATGTGTTTGAGCGAAGAGTCGATAAAAGCTTGGTAAAATCCTGCCTGATCTCGCCACCGTGGACCTCTCTAGATTCCAGCATCGTCAGTTGATAACTCTGTGCAGCTGGGCTTTGGCTGTGGGGCCACGATCCATGACAGCTTTGTGACCTCTTTGCAGGCCCAGCCCCAGTTCTAAGATTCAATAGGTGTCACCAAGCTGGGGTCTGCCTGTAGCTGTCCCTCCGTAGGACTCGGCTCCTGGTTTCTTTGGTCACTGTCCTTTATCTGGCTTCCCTCAGCCACTCTGCCTAGCCCCGGAGCTTTGTCAGTCCAGTTGCTCCATAACTGTGGTCTCCTTCGTCGTACACACCTCACGTTTTCCAGGCTCCCCACCTTTGAGAGCAGGATGGTTTATTTCTTCCAATTTTCTTCATGAATTGGAAAATAAAAACGAAACCAAATACGGTTGCTGTGGTAACTTTGGTGAGCCCATCGGGGTCTCTCGGGTACCACAGGCTGGCACACCTGACACTTGCAGCTTTGCCTCCTGGATCACACCCTGCCAGCAGCTGTAGATTTCCAAGTCTCCAGCCGACCCGGGAGCGCCACCTCGTGGGCATTTCGAATGCCATCTCCAAGAAGGCACTCCAAGTGCCACAAGCCACGGGTACTCTTTCTTCCCATTTCTGGGCTGGGGAAATGGAGCCAGACTTTACATTCTAGGGGATTACCAAATGGCTGTCAACCAGATTGTGAATAATTTATCTATGGATATAAATAGGCCAAATGTCTTGTATTACTGCTGGAGATTTCTTCTTATTGATTAGCGGGTACTCTCTTTTTACATGGACTTTGGAGCAACCAGTTCTGTATTTTACATGTATTTGTTAAAATAAAGCTATATATTCTAGGCAGGGCATCAGAGAATTTTGTTGTCGTTGTTTGTTGTAGGGTATGTGCACTCACCAGAGAGAGAGAGGGGAAAAGTGAGAAATCCCCCAGGGGAGATGACCACACTGCAATCCCTTCTCCTCCATTCTCCTCTTGGGATTCTGGGCACACACACAGAGCATGATTTTCAAGCTGCCAAGTCTGGGATTCGAACTGTGCCCCTGACTATGTGAGATCCAGTCACCTAAACTCCATGCTACCTGCTGGACCAAGAATTCATTTTTAAAAAACTTTTTGAGGCTTTTTTTAAAATCATGTTTTTGTTTTTAAATAAACAAAGGCAGTGCAAAATGAAGTGCTTGAAGTGCGGGCTCTGGACCGGCAGTACCAGCATGTTAGAGATGCAGAACAGCCGTCTTCGTTCCAGAGCCGCTGAGTCAGAATCTGCATGTCAGCCAGAGCTTCTTAGGATTCTCGTCCGCACGACAGTTCTAGGGGGCAGGTGTAGAGTTGGACGATAGAGCTCCCGTGTTCTCATCCCTGCACCACCAATGTCTCTACGCAGCTAACCTCTGCCCCGACAATCACATCCGTTCAGCGTCAGTGGCCCATGTGTGACAGATCATAAGATCATAGTCCCTGCTTGCCACTGGGTCTGCTGAGGAAGAACTGACATTACATACAAAAGGTCACTTCATACATGGTAAAACATCTGTGCAAATGTAAAGGGAAATCAGAGTGACATTTCTTACATTTTATACTCAGCTACCGAGAATCTGCCTTGCATTAGCTACAGAACAAATATTCAACTGTAGCCATTCTTCGTGCTTCAGATAATGTCTGAGTGATTTTACCAAGCTTTTCAAAGGCCCCTCTCAGGCCAATCTTCCCAGAGCTCAGGATAATACAATTACATTCTGTTTTTCTTGGAAAGACCTTTCACTCAGTTCCTGTCCTAAGGCCCTAGGAGTGGTTGACCTACCCCCATCCCACCCCCTATCCCCATCTAGCCCAGTATGGAGCATGGGAGGTGTTCAGTTTTGCTTGTTGATTAAAACACTAATTAGCCCTAGCAAGGTCCGAATTATGACTGGATATCTTTCACACCAGTTGTGCTGTTTATGATAATCAGATTATTTGCATCATTAGAGACCTAACATGACTGCATGAGGATTTGGTTGTCTCACTAATGTAGTATATCAAATACTCATTAAAAACAATGGACTCCTGATGGCTGAGAAATTCTTCGCTAACGCACGCAGACTGAAGTAGGTGAGATCACTGTCTACCAACATCCTTCCTGTGGTCTTGAAATGAGGGAGGGGCCAAAAACCAGGGACGCAACATTCACCTTGCATACATATTAAAAGAAAAATTAATAGAAAGAAGCTGTTAGACAATAAGTAGGCAAAATTTGGGGAAAACTTATCATCTGAAGCCTTAAGATTGATAAGAGATGTTAATATCTGTGTTATGCCCAGCCATGGAGGCTCTTGTTCCTAAAGATATGGTACTATCATCAATGAGTTATAGTGAATTATTGAGACTCATTTATTACACAGTTCATTACCAAATGGAAATACAAAAATGTTAAATTCAAATTAGGTTCAACTTTTGCATTGTCTACAGTTTGTGAAATTATAGACTTTTTGCCCCTAATTTACTAAGTACAGTAAAATCATGCCTTTAAAAAAATGATTTACTGTAATTAGCAATGTTCTTGCCAATCATTTAAAAGAATCCAGAATTTTAAGGCTTCAAAATGGCTTTCCATAAAGCTAAAATGTAATTGTAATAAGTGCTTTTATATGGAGGAAAATAAACATGCATGCCATGCATATACCACCTCTCCGAGTAAGAGCCTTTACTTTGCAAGACTTTGCAATGCCCCATTCATTGCTGTATGCTGCCTGTCAGTGTTTTATAAGAATACACTTAAGAGGGGCCAGTGGGACCAGCAGTTAGCGTGATGGCTATGTCGCTGAACTCCATGTAGTCAACCGCGGTTTGAGACCCAGATTCGGTGGCTTAAACTTATGCTGGGCGCGTGTGCATGTGTGCCCAAGATCCTGAGAGGAGAATGGAGGAGAAGGGATTGTGGCGTAGCCATCCCCCTGGGGGATGATTTCTCACTTCCTATCTCCCTGTCTCTGTCTTTCTGGTGAGTGCACGTGCCCTATAGCAAAAACCTCTCCCCAAAAAACAAGAGGAGCCAGTAAGTAGGTGATGTGATAGTTAAGGTTCTGGACTCCTACATGGCTGACCATAGTTTGAGTCCTAAGCCTGGCAGCTTGCTCTCGTACTTTCTCTCTCTCTCTCTCACTTTCTCTCTCTGGTGAGTACATGTGCCCTACAACAAATTAAAAAAAATAATAATATTAAATAAATTGAAAAGAAAAATAAGGAATACATTTAATAGAAGAGTACAAGAACCATAATTCTCTTTTCTCTCTTTTGTTTTTGGAAAGGCTTTTGCTACAAGGAATGTGTGCTCACCAGAGAGACAGAGAGACAGAAAGCGAAAAATCCCCCCCCAGGGATCATGCCACAATCCCTTCTCCTCCATTCTCCTCTCAGGATCTTGGTCATGCATGCACACGTGCCCAGTGTGAGTTTAAGCCACCGGGTCCAGGACTTGACCCACAGTCGACTACATGGGAGTTCAGCGACATAGCCATTACGCTAACAGCTGGTCCCCATAATTCTCTTTTTATTCTCTTTCCAAGGTTTTAACTTTGAAAATTTCAAATCAAGGAAAAAAAATGCCTTAATAAAACAAAACACACTGTTGCTGTTGCACATTTAGAATCATGAATTAACATATTTATTCACTCCACACCCTCAAGAATAAAGACCTGCTTTTTACATAGCCATAATAAAATGACCAAATTCAGGAAAACTTAAGATCGATAGAATACTCTTCGGTGTGCTGTCCTGAACCTTTTTTTGTCCATTGTTCCTCTAATGCCCTTTGATAGCATTTCCTCTTGACCCAGGTCTAATCCAAGTTCAGACACTACCTTTAGCCCTTGCCCTGTGGTGACCTTTAAACTGGAACAATAACTGATTTTCCATCTTTTGTGACATTAACGTTGTTGAAGTGGACAGGCCAGCGCATCCTTGCAATTAGATCGAGGTTATGCATTTGTGGCAGAAGTACTAAGGAAGTACAATATATATATTAATATATTGCAGATCATGACATTAGTAGGTACATGGTGTTACTTTAGCTCACATTGGTCATGGAAACTTTGATCCCTTGGATCAAATGAGTTCCACCGTGCTGAAACACAGTAGAGCAATGATATTTGGTGACAGTTCTATGTATATTTCACAATAGCTAGAAGAGAAGATTTTGAATGTTCACAACATGAAGTAGTAAGTGCTCGAGATGATAAATAGTTTATGGCCCTGGTTTTTACATTAGATATTGTATACAGTATTGAAAAACCACACTGGTTCTCCATAAACATGTACAACTATTATATGTCAATTAAAAATAATAAATTTAGGAAAAAAGAAAGAAATATCAACAACAAGGCTTGTTCCCAAGCTAATTTAATCAGGTTCTCTGGAGGTTGAGGGGAGAACTTAAGGGTCTATATTCTAATGTTCATTCCTAGCTTTTGCAGAGTTTATCTTGAGGAATGGCATCAAGTATCATAGAGCTACACCTTTCCAAATCACAATTTTAAAAGATTCACTTTATTTTATAGGATTTTGAACTCAACAATGAACTAAAGATGAATGTCCTAAATTTGCTAGAAGAAGTCTTAAGAGACCCAGACCTTCTTCCCCAAGAAAGGAAGGCCACGGCAAATATCCTGAGGTAAAGTCCATAGCAGGAACAGGTTAAATTGCATTATTTGATTTGTGTTGTGTTTATAGAAAATAAGACCCTATCAGATCAGAAGGTTAAAGCTCAGAATTCTTGGGACAGCAG